GAAACCCTGTACAGGGTCGCTATGGGTCGGACCCGACTCGATGGCACTTAACAACAACAACAACAATTCACAGCTTGAAATAATTTTTTATTTTGTTTGATAATTGGCTTCACATTCACCTCTGTGAGGCCAAAGATTCTATGTTCTTTGGCTTGAATATATTTTCATTCATTTTATTTACTTATTTTCAGACTTGAATGTTCTTCTTGTAATGTTAACCAGTTGCTGTCAAGTTCATTCATGGTGATCCCACGTGTGTCAGAGTAGAACTGTGCTCTACGGAGTTTTTAATGAGTGGATTTTTTGGAAATAGTTCTTTCTTCTGAGGATCCTCTGGGTGGATTCCAACCTATTATCTTTCAGTTAGCAGCTAAGTGCATTAACCATTTGCACAACCCAGGGGCTCCTCTTGTAATGTTAGCTTATCTCATTCTCCCATAAGGCAACTTTCAGACAGAAATCACACCTGCTTAATTTAGATTCCTGACAAAACATCATGGACACATGGTGCAGGTGTGTCCCAGACCTATAGGATGCCTTACCTCTGAGAGATACCTTACCCAGGTCTGCTCTACCCACAGTGCATCAGGAAGGACCTCCAGTTGGGTGGTGTGAGGGGGAGTTTTATTTGAAAATGGTTCCAAAACCTGTAAGAGAGATAAAGCATGGAGATATATTTTTGACTCTTCCATGCCTGTCACTTTGCCAGCGTCTGGTTGGTGTCTGACACTCAGCTTCCCTCAGAGATAGCATCCATGTTCCGCTGTCCTTGTAGCTTGCCTTGTTCAGTGTGTTGAACATTGCCACTTAAAACAAGACAGATGTGTCTTGCTTTTACTTTAGTGTAACGTTTCTCACTTCCTATACTAAAAGCTACTCCCAGAAAGGATGGGAAACACATCACATGGATGTATAATTAATGGCACTTGTCAATTGTTACACTTTCCTAACCAGATTTGCTTTTGAAAAAGCTGGCAAAGGAAGGAAGCTCTAATATGGAAATGTCACGTATCCATCAGAATTGGAGGGCATAGGCAGTCACTGATATTGCTTCTCTATCTATCCGTGGTATCCTCGGGAGTGGCCTAGGGGTTTTCAGACTTACAGATGATGGTATATGTCAGGATCCCGCTGGATTCTGGTCTGAAACCCTATATACAAGTAATCCCAGAGTAGACCATTCTTCACCACATGTCTAATTACATCTACCCGGCTGCGGATCTGAAACAGACACAAAGCAACATGCCGGGACAGTTCAGTCAGCACGGATTATCACATCCCCAGTGTTCCTGGGAGAAGTAGCTGCCCTTGATGGCAGAAGCATTGGGAGTTAAGAAAGGAGTAAGATGGAGCAGATATTACAGACAGAGGGAAAAAGAAGGAACACAGTGTAGTGGATATTGAACGAAGAAACACAGAAAGTGGATCAAGAGCTGGCATAATGTAATGGTTAAGAACACAGACTCTGAGTTCAAATCCAGCTTCTAGCAGGTGATCTTGGTAAGCACTCTGAGCCTCAGTTTCCTCATCTACAAAATGAAGATAATAATAGAACATTCCTTATAGGAGTGTTGTAAGGATTTAACAAGTCAATGCACATAAAATACTTAAAATCATTGTTGCTATTGTTAGGTGCTGTCAAGTTAGTTCCGATTCCACCACCAACCTATGCCCAACAGAGTGAAAGACTGTTGGTGCAGGTCCTGCACCCTCCTCAGAATTGTTGTGATGTTTGTTGCCATTGTTGCAGCCACAGTGTCAATCTATCTCCTTGGGGAATCTTCCTCTTTTTCAATGACCGTCCACTTGACCAAGCATGATGTCTTTCTTCAGGGACTGGTCACTCCTGATAACATGTCCAAAGTACGGGAGACAAAATTGCCCCATCCTAGTTTCTAAAAAGCATTCTGGCTGTACTTTTTCTAAGACAGATTTGTTTATTCTTCTGGGAGTCCAAGGTACTTTCGATATTCTTTGCAAACTAAACAATTAAAATGCATCAATTCTTCTCAGGTCTTCCTTATTCATTTTCCAGCTTTCACATGCATATGAAGTGATTGAAAATACCATAGCTTAGGTCAGGTGACATCTCTACTCTTTTGCACTATAAAGAGGTCTTGTACAGCAGATTTTCCCAATGGAATGCACTATTTGGGTTCTTGACTATAGCTTCCCAGAGCTTTGAATGTGGATCCAAGTAAAATTAAATCCTTGGAAATTCATTTTTTCTCCATTTATCACAATGTTGTTTATTGGTCCAGTTTTGAAGATTTTTGTTTTCTTTGCAGTGGGTTGTAATCCATACTAAAGGTTGTATTCTTTGATCTTCATCAGCAAGTACTTCAAATCCTCTTCACTTCCAGCAATAGAGGTTGTGTCATCTGCATATCACAGGTTGTTAATGAGCCTTCCTCCAATCCTGATGCCATGTTCTTCTTCATAAAGTATAGTTTATCAGATTATTTTCTCAGCATATAGATTAAATAATGATGACGTAAAAGAGCTGAACAGAAAATTTCAAAAGACATGCGGAGGAGCGCTCAGATGTGGGGGTCGTATGGAGGACAGGGGGAAGCACAAGGATGGAGGTAACAAGACACTGTTCACGTCTTTCCCTCTGCATGGCTCCTGAACAAATGCCTTCACATAGCTCTCTGAATAAATGAAGTCAATTTGGTAGAGAGAACTAAGAAAAGTAGTGTATTTGGGGTATATTGGACCAATATTTTGACATCTAGGGGTCCCCTAGCCTATTAGCTGGCTCTTCACCTACAGAACTTAGAGCCAATTGGTGAGTCCTTGACCAAATCATGCCTTTAGCTCTTTTCCATATAGCCTAAGTTCTTTTTCCTGGGAAGAAAAATACTAAGAGACATATTGTAGACCACCAAGTATGATCAGTGGGATGACTTGCCCACCAGTGTGCTTAAATCCGGAGTCCCTGGGTGGTGCAGATGGTTAATACACTCAGCTGCTAACCAAAAGTTTGGAGTTTCAGGTCCAACCAGAGGTATCTGAGAAGAAGTGTGTGATGATCTACTTAGGAAACATTGCCAATGAAAACCCTATAGAGCACCGTTCTACTCTGACACACATGAGGTCAGAGGTCATCATGAGCTAGAATTGACTTGATGGCAACAGGTTTGTTTTTTGCTTTGTTTTGTTTCTTTGTAATTAAATCTACAACGTGACTGTTACTTGCTTCATTCAGCAGATGCACTGTAAAAAGTTATGAAAAATTATATTTTGTATTTCAAATAAAGTACTTTAAATGAGTTCTATGAATTTTTGTTTTTGTTTTTGTTTTTGATTTTAAAGATACCAAAGATGAGTCTCCTTTAAGGATAACAGACATCTTAATTTATAGATTTTATAAATTCACATTTGAGAGACAACACAGTGGCTAAGAGAATAGAGCTCTTCAGTTCAAACCCCTTTGCCACCATTTACTACCTGTACAGTCACTATGAGGCAGTACCGACTCAACGGCACCTAAAAACAACAACAACTAGCTGTACAACTTTGGGTCAATTATTCAACTTCTTGGTGTGCAAATCTCTTCATCTATAAAACATGGAATATAATAATTCATAGGGTTCATAGGATTGTTACGAGGATTAAATGACAATGTTTATATACTGTTTAGATCTCTGCTTAACCTAAAACAAGCTATGTGTTTGTTAATAAAAGCAAAAATAAAGATCTGTTTTGTTCACAATGAGTGTAAAGGTATTTATCATCTATATTACTGTTGTTAAACTCTGTCGTTGAATCTGTTCCGACTCGTAATGACAAGGTATAGGGTTTCCAAGGAGCAGCTGGTTGGTTTGAACTGCCAACCTGCTGATCCTACAGCGCCATGATACTTCATAAAAAGAGCCCTGGTGGAATTTTAGGATAGGTACTGAACTGCTGTCTTAAATATCAGCAGTTCCAAACCTCAGTTGTTCCCAAATGAGTTCTGCTCCTGTAAAGATTTACACCTTCAGAAACCTTATACAGGGTCACCATGGGTCAGAATCGACTCAGTGGCAGAGAGTTATTGTTTTTATGATACTTCTGATGATGTTTAGCTATATATAAAAATCCAGTTTTTTAAGACCCACAAAACAGGTAGTAGGTTAATGGGCTTACTGAAGTTTCAATATAGGACTTTATTCAATAACTAATACTTTACTGAACATAAAAATACTAGTCAATTTATAAAAATATAGTTTAAGACCACATCTATTTTATGAAAGAACATTTAACCTCTACAGTCAGGGCATCACACAAGCAATGATTCTTAAGGACAGGCTTGGTGTCCTGAACATAGTTATGGCGATTGATTAGATTTGGGGATATAATTAGATCAATTAATTTGTATCTTCTCCTAAATTACGTTTATGTAGCATTTCAGTTATAATGTTTGCTCATATACGGTGTCACTTGATTCTCATAACCACCTGATCAAGTGGGAATAAGCCCTATGTAAGTAAAACAACAAACAAGGCTCAGGATAGTTCAATCACCATGTGTGAAGCTGTTTCCAAAGTCATGGCTCTACTCTCTCTTTTATATAAGCCAGTTGATGGACTTATTTAAATTTGTAGCTCAACAATATGTGCATTAATTTATGTTGACTAACTCCTTTTATAGAGATTCACATGGAAAGGAGACATCATTGGAGAGAAGGGAACGGAAGGTAGAGACCAAGGCTCCCAGGCCTCATAATAGTTTATACTGCCCAAGTGTTTAAAAGTAAGCAGGTAGATAAAACCAATCATCAAAAAAGATTTGAAAAGAAAGAAGTACGGAATACAGTTAACAATAATGTTCAATGTTGGTTCATTTCTGTTGTTATTGTTAGGTACCATCAAGTTGGTTGTGGTTCAGTAATCACATGTATAACAGAACAAAATGTTGCCTGGTTCTGTACCATCCTCACAATAATAAGCATGTTAGAGTCCATTGTTGTAGCCACTGTGTCAATTCATCTTGTTTAGGAGCTTCCTCTTTATCACTGACACTTCACTTTACTAAGTATGATATCCTTTCTCCAGCGACTGGTGTCTCCTAATAACATGTCCAAAGTAAGTGAGATGAAGTTTTGCCATCATCACTCAAAAGAGTATTCTAGCTGTACTTCTTTCAAGATAAATTTGTTTGTTTTTCTGGCAGCCCATGGTATAGTCAATATTTTTTGCCAATACCATGATTCAAATGTATCCATTCTTTTTCAGTCTTCTTTTTTCATTGTACAGCTTTTAAATGCATATGAGGCTATTGAAAACACCTTTGCTTGGATTAGGTGTACTTTAGTCATCAACGTGATGTCTTTGCTTTTTAAAATTTTAAAGAATTCTTTTACAACAGAGTTGGCCAATGGAATACATCATTTGATTTCTTGACTGCTGCTTCCAGGGGTGTTAATTGTTGATCCAAGTACAACGAAATCCTTGACAACTCCAGTATTTTCTCCTTTTACTATGCTGTTGCTTTTTACTCCAGTTGGGAGGCTTTTTGTTTTATTTATGTTGAGGTTTGACAAACGTGCAGTAGCAATGTAAAATGCTAACTACGTTCTCTGTGCTTTCTTTACAACTTTTCTGTGAATCTAAAATAAGATGTTGATTAAATAGGAAGGAAGGAAGAAAGAAAAACATCCAATAGCATTGCTGCTTACTTCCTCATAGGGATGTTCCCGACTTGGTCTTTCCTTTGGGAAAGATAAATCTAGAAAGTCAATCAAATAGTCGTATCCTCCAGGATAAGGGCTGAAGTCTTCATCTGTCTCAATCATCTGTGCAAATGACAACATGGTAAAGGGAAGAACCATATTAATCGGGTGGTCAAGGTCTTTAAAAAATTCTAGGCTATGTAAGACCCCAAAGCCCTAAAATCGTAAATAGTTGTTGTTAAGTGCCGTAGAGTCGGTTCTGACCCATAGCGACCCGGTACAGGGTTTCCGAGGGTGTAAATCTTTACGGGAATAGAAAGCCTCATCTTTCTCCCATGGAGCGGCTGGTAGTTTTGAACCACTGACCTTAAGGTTCACAGCCCGATTCATAACCACTACACTACCAGAGCTCCTTAAAATGGTAAATAGTAATGAGTTGGAATTAATACGGAAAAAAAAACCAACTCCCTTTCTCTCTCTTTTCTGAACTGAAAATATTCTAATCCTAGTCTTTGACTCTAGCAAAACTACTTCTTATTATTAACATTAATCAGATTTAGGGAGAACATTGTCATTATCTTAAGTACTCTTATCAATCAGACACCAAAACCACCATAAATTTGCAGGTGCTGTCTAAGCGGTTCCAATTCATAGTGATCTCATTTATAACAGAACACAACATTGTCTGGTCCCGTGCCATCCTCATGTGGTAGGTGTGTTAAATCACGTTGGAATAAATATCAGTGTTTCTCACTGTCATAAAGCAGTTAAATTAAATAGTTTCATTTAAAATTCCCAAAGCATTCTGTTTCCCGTCGTCTAACTAAAATGATCATTTAGACCAGCATTTTCCAGGTTTTGGGATTCCAAAGACAAATTTCTAAAAATTATTTGGGAGATAATTTTCAAACATGTGTTTTGTCAAGTGAGAGCTCAAAAACAAACAAAAATGCTTACGTCTATGGTCACTACTACCTATTATCTTTTAAATTTCATTAAAGGAAGAATGTTTTAACCACCCAACAATGTTGTTGTTAAGTGCTGTCAAGTCAATTCTGACCCATAGCAACCCTGTATAGGGTTTCCAAGGAGTAGCTGGTGAACTTGAACCACCGACCTTGCCGTTCAAATAACTCAACAATAGGAAAGAACATAATCCTGGATTATGATAGTTCATCCCAAAACAAGAAAGTTGGCATCTTTGTATAAACCACATAAAATCTCAGTCTTACTCACCTCACTATTGACAAGTGGAAACTTAGACTGGCACTGACACCCAGGTAGGTTCCGAGGTGTCGCTGCTTTAAAGAATGGGGAGTGTTGTCAGGTACTAATGCTCAGGGCTTGAATGGCAAACTTGAGAATAGTGTTCACAACGGAAATAATGATCCCTGTCTTTAAAAGTGTTGTGGTTACATGCTATCGAGTGGGTTCAGACCCATAGTGACCCTGTAGAGAATTTATAAGGAGTGACTGTTGAGCTTGAACCACCTTTGCAGTCCAGCTCATTAATCCACAGTGCTACAGGTGTCAATTTCCTGAGGCCTAGCCTAAACTTGAGTCCTGGTGTGGCACTGTATGATAAGCACAGGACCGTAAGGTTGGTTTGAATTGCAAGGTTGGTGGCTCAAACCAAGGTTGGTGGTTCCACAGGGTGGCTATGCGTCAGAACCAGCTCGAAGGCACTTAACAACAACAAGAAGCCTGAGTTTGGCTCTCCACACACAAACTCAGACACCAAGCCAGGGGTGGTTGGTTACTCACCAACACTGAGGTTCTTTCTGGCCCATTTCTGGCCTCTTCCTTCTCCCACAGGAATCCCTGTTGTCATGAGTTGCTTTCAAGTCAATTCTTACTCATTATGACTCCCTGTGTGTCAGAGTAGAACTGTGCTCCACAGAGTTTTCAACGGCTGTGGTCTTCCAGAAGTTTATTACTGGTATTGTCTTCCTAGGAACTTCTGGGTGGACTTGCACCTCAGTTTTCAGTTAGCAGCCAAGGACATTAACTCTTTGTACCACCTAAGGGATCCTGTGGGAAGTGATCTGCCTCCAAACAATCACAGCCGTTGAAAACCCCAGGAGCACAGCTGTACTCTTAGACTCTGGGGGTCACCCCCAGTTGAAGTCAACTCAAAGGCAGCTGGTTTTCTTGTCCAGAAGCTCCTGCCTATCAGGACTTACTTTGCTTTTGGATACACCCTCAGCTCTGGTGACCAGGTTACTACCTAAACAGCTTGGCTTATGGACTCTGTGTGTACGTGTTGGGGTTCAGTTAAAGTAGTAGTTCTAGGCTTACTTCTTGGTTTGTGCAATGCAGTCCTCACCACAGTTGCAGATAAGAATTAGCTGCTGCTTTCTCATCTTCCTGAGTGAATCCCACCTTCCAGCCCCACAGTTTAAATAGCTGTTCCTGCCATGCTAAGAAAACAAACAAAAAGACATCTAAAACAAAACCAACAAACAATAAACATGTGCTGATAGGAAGTAACAGAATGCTTCAAAAGAGAAACCGAACTAGACTTGGAAACATTCCCTAACTGTTCAGTGAGGAATGGTTGGTTCATCACGTTATTAGATCTGTTTTCTGTTAGGCAGTCAGTAGGGTTTAAGGAGCTTGTTGGGAGATAGTCTGGGATACTAATGGGTTTTCATATATTACAATGATACAGGAAAGCAAAGATAAATGACACTTAACAGCATACCCTGACCACAAGGTTGTAATTCTTAAATCCAGCCCAGGTGAAGTATTCTTTTATCCAGGATGAGTGAAGAAATATTTCATCTTCTATGGCAGCATTCAAGAGTTTCAAGTATGGGCCAAAGTCCCAGGAATCCTTGTAAATTTTAGTTCCTTCTGGAGGCTCTGTGATGCCCTTGCTTCAAGACACAAAAGAAAGAAGGTGATGAAGAAACAAAGCAACAAAATACACCTAGAGGGCCAAAGTTAGCACTTAATTATCAAATTTAAAAAATCAACCAGGCTGTGGGAACCCAGGACTATGATTCGTGGTCCCCCTTCAACTGTGGAATTGAAGTCACCCCTGTGTCAGATGGTGGGGGACAAAACACTAGTGAGTATGCACACCATAGAATCATCAACTATTCAAGATCAAAAGGGCAGCATTAACTAAGAAGAACATCCCGAAAGGGTGGGAAAGAAGGAGGAATGGAAACGGGAACCTCAGGGAGGAAGTGTTACATGGAGGAGATGCAATCATTAAGATGGAATTTCTTAAATGTAAAACTGATGATCTGTTCTGTAAACTTTCACTCAATTCACAATAAAAAAAAAAAA